AAGCCTAGTGTCAGTGGAGGTGAGGAAGCATCCCCACAGTGGGAAGAACTGGGAAATTACACAGCTAAGGCAAAGGAGTCGTAATTTTAAATACAAAGGAGCGAAGAATTGAGAACAGTAATCCAATTTACCACAATACAGCTTCCCACTGTTTTCCTGTTGAAAGGAAATTTATCACTGCTTTCAAAGAGTCATTCTAACTAAATTATCCATTGATGGTGGTTTGGAAGTGCCATCTTTTTAAATGAAGAGCTGCATCACACAAAATATTGGATCTTAAAACATGCTCGAAAAGGCTACTAATGTCACTTAGTTTTCTAGTTAACTGGAAAGTGCCAAGGCACATTTTCTACTTCTCTTACTTATATGCCTTTCTCTTTGAATAAGATAAAATTAAATTTAAATATTATCATCTGTATCCAAGTTGGATTTCTTTATAGTTCCTAGACTTACTCCTCGCTCACTCCCTTAAATTGCTAATTTCATGTATGTTTCTGTAATACTGAACTTTACTTTGTAAGCTTTTTCTATATGAGCAGAAAGCACCTGATTGATTCATTAAAATCAGAAAAACAATTTAATCTAACAAATTATTTTGCCTCATACATACCAAACAATACTTTTATTGGTTGAAGTTTTTAATTTTTCTTTTTCATTTCAGATGGTTCTGATGGCTTCGTTCAGACAATGCTTTAGTGTACGGAGAGTGTACACATTCACTACTGCTTGCACATTATTTAACCTCCAAGTTCTATGATTTTGAAATCTTCTAGGAAGTAAATGCTAATAACTGATTTATTGTTTATTTGGACCCTGCCAGATGGCAGGGCCTTCATCAACTGTTACCTGGAATCTTAGGTTCCCTTCCTGAATAATCGCCAGCTGAGCATCTTCAAAATTAATCTAAAAGCATTTTAAAGGAGAGTCGTGACAGGTTTTTGTCCTTTATTTGTATCTGTGGCTTTGTGAGGGTCCCTTTTCAAGAGTGCACCATGGTGGAGCTAGAAGTAATTACAATAGGAGATAGCTTCTCACAGAGAGAAAAGCTCAGTTTAGACATTTCACTTCTTTAACATTTCTTTCCAACCTTCTGTCAAAAGTATCTGTCGGGGGCTGTTGAAGCGCATGGGACCTATGCTGCGAAAAACTGTTCCCCGTTGATAGGCAAGAGCACAGGTCAGTGAAAGGTGACCTTTTTCCCTATTATGTAGCTCAGCTGAGGAACTTGCTTTTTGAACTTTGGCAGCTTAGCTTCAGCCATAGTGTCCTCTCAATAGCCAGTATATGTCAGCCCAGCATGTGAATTAATTATTTCTCATTGTAAAAACCTGCAAAGTTCACTTTGCAGAACACCCCACAGTTTGTGGTGAGGAACACGCCTCCAAAAATTAGACAGCGGTTCTAGGGGCCAGGACGCGGCCCTTCTGTTCGTTCCCTTTGAACCTGCTGACAGCCTGTGTTACCTGTTGTCTTACTGAGTGCCGGGCCCTGAGCTAGGGGCTCTGTGTCACAGCCTTATGAAACAGGTAGTATTCTTCATCCATTTTAAAGGCAAGGAGTCTGAGGCTTAGAGAAGTTACAAGTTGCTGAAGGTCATACAGCTGTTAAGTGAAGGAATCCAGCCTTTGACTCTAAAGAATGTTTGTAACCACCACAGCCATCCAGCCGTCTCATTGTATCTTCACGTTGGGAATCCAGCATACATGGGCAAGGGTCCACCGCAAGTGATTAGACGTCTTAATTTTAAAACTTTTTATATATCATTGTGTGTGTGTTTCTATACCAGAGCTAATTTGAAGGAAAATGTGAGGCTTTCCTAATGCCCCAAAATGTTGTTTAAGGGACAAAAGTCTGGAAAAAGTGGAGTCATGGGGTAGAAAGAAATAGCTTATGGAAGCAAAGCATTTGAATTCATTTCCTGATTCCACCATCCTAGATGTGTGGCCTTTGGAAAATTGCCTTATGTATCTGAGACTTCCTTTCCCCATCTGTAAAATGGAGATACTTATATGCCCTTGTCATGAAGAGTCAATGAGATAATACATACTATAATATACGCCTAGTAACAGTAGGACTCTGCCACTGTTAGGTGACTTCCATCTTCTGTGATAAGATGTGTGTCTGTGCGTTTGTGTGTGCATGTATGTGTATGTGAGGATGTAGGGGAAAGGAGGACTTTTTGTCACATGGTTTTGGCCAGTATGTCCATTTGACTTTTATAAATATTTTGTAACAAATGATCCTGGTGGAATTGATCGATATCCCATAGTAAGAGAAGGAAAACAGTGGAGAAAAATATTATACTAGTGTTTAATAGAATTTTTCTTGGACCATAATTATATCAGATATACGTTGATGCTTATGAGATTCTAATATGATTACCTTATAGTAGATCTCTTATTTGTCAAATTTAACTTACTTGAGTCTTTCTTAAAGGTATCGTTATAAATTGTTTATTTTTCTCCATCTAAAAGAACTTTTATATAAAATTTTATATTTAGAAAGAGAAATAATGATACTAAATAAAACATGTAACATTTTCGATGTATTTGATACTGTTAAACAACATGGCTTTTTTGATATTTCCAAAAGAAAAAAAAACCCAACTCTAACTTAAATTAGAAAACTATACATTAGCCAAATGCATATGGTTATCTAGAGATAGCCTAAAATTCTGAAAGCTACACAATAGTATTTTTAATTTGTTTGGGCAAACATGTTGGCATTCCCTGTAAAGCATACTCCCTTTCTTATTCAAAACCAATAGCTATGTGAATAAAAGACTCAAATCGTTTCTTTCTTGAGTATTGTTCATTTGACTCTTACAAAGTAGAGTAATGTGTTGGGCCATAGAAAACACTACAGATGGTTTAGGACTGAGATGCATTTAGCATTTAGCGCTTTTGACACCCAGATTATTCATTAGGAACAGCTGAAAGAGTTGAAAGGAAGACTCCAAGGTGTCTTCTATTCTGGGCACTGGGAACTGAGCAGGGGTGGGACATAGTCCCTATTTTATGGGGTTTACAGTATAGAAAAACTTTCACCGTTTTTCTCCTACATTTAATTATGGAACTGACATTATATCTTCTCTCTGTATAAAGGTAGCACAGCAGACTGTGTTGTAAGTTATCTGTATTATATTTTTTACTTCACCTTGATAATACTGAGGTCTGACTTCCTGTTAAAATAATAGGATTTAGCACCCAGCCATGATTTTGGTTAATCTGAAAAGATTCTGCATATGCCAAAAAAAAAAAAAAAAACTTTTCTTAAAATTCCCCAGGCTGATTCATGTGCTGGACAGGTCTTTTAATTTGGCATATTTTACTGACCTTGACAAAAGAGACCTTCAAATACCACTAAAACTCTTTAGTCCTGGGTAGCTCTTCAGTAATTCAGGATTTAGCTACTTATTCGATTTTTGGCAAGAGTTTCTAATATGTCGGCTGAACAGATTTTCCTTTCTGTGTTTTTGATCTCATAAAATCAGACTGCCAGTACCTGTGTTTTTGATCCTGTATTTTTTTTTTTTTTTCACATTTATAGCTGTTCCCTGGCCAGATTTGGGTATCTGTCTATTGCAGCTGATTCATGAGCACTCTGGCTGGCCTCAGAAAGGACAGAGTGAAATTTCATAGAGCACTTTGGCATGTCTCTCTCCACCATTTCTCATAGACTGGGGGCATAAATAATTTGTTAGGTACAGAATGTGCAGAAATATAAAGAGGAGTGGCTGATGAGATAGTGAGTCAGGAGACATTATTAAGTGTGGGCATCTGATGGAAGATTCAGGGTGCCAAGGAGTTTGGAGTAGATCTTGATAGCAGAGAGGAAGTCCTTGAGTACAGGAATAGTGTAATGAAAACTATATCTTATAAGAAGGTCTTGATTTAGTATCTTGGATAAGCTAACGTGGGAAAAAATAGGAAGCAATAAGAAGTCATAATAGTACAGACAGGTGATAATGATGTTTTAACGATAATTTTAAGATTCCTCTGCTTAAGTAGAAAATGGTTGAAGGTAAAAATAATATTTTTTCTCAATTTTTGAACAATTGGGAAGCATACAGATTTAGACAGTCTTGAGAAAATTTAAGTAATGAGTTTAAGGTTCTACTAGTTTTCATCTTCCATTGTCTATTCTAGATTTCTTTATGCCATGCTTCTGTTTGTCTCAGTTATGTAGTCCCTACGCTTAACTGAATGATTTAGAAATAATTTGAGGTTTCTGTAATTAAACATTTTTACTTGAAAGAGGAATTTTACATAACCCATAGTAATATGTATGTATGTATCTACCCTACCTACCTGTCATTTTTCTATAGCTATAAAATTGTTCAACATAACACATAATTAACTTTACCAATGCAAGTCCAAATTATAAAATGGGAATTTTATCCAGTTATACATTCTTCGTCATCATCCATTTGCTCATTCATTCAGAAAAAATCTGTCTTCTCAGGAATTTGTAATTAATATTTATAAAACATTTCAGGATGACTTTGAAAGGCAGATCAGTGTGGGTTTTTCTGATCTTGTATTTCTGAGGTCCCCTTAGAGTCCACTACTTCACAATGCTCACTGGTAATCTCAGATAAAACAATAGCAGCCATATGTACCACCCAGGTTATACCTAGGGATTGAAATAGATTAAACATTGACTCAGAAAAATAAGTTGGGGTTGTTATCTCAAGCACTGGTAGATTTCTGTAGTTTTTGCTGGACTCAGACATATGTTCATTAAAGAGGAACAGTAAAATCCATTATTATTTCATTTCAACTCTCTAGATCTCAGGTAATATACTAGCCACTAACCAAATGTGACCAATCTGAACTGAGATGTACTGTATGTATAAGATACACTCTGGATTTTGAGGATTAGTAGAAAAGAATGTAAAATACGTTGTTAATTTTTGTAATGATTACATATTGAACTAATATTTTTGAAATATTAAGTTAAAGCTATTACTAAAATTATTTCATTTGTTAATTTTTTACATAGCTACTAGAAAATCTAAAGTTAAACATGCAGCTCACATATTTTTACATGACAGCACTAGTCTAAACATTCTTGCAAATACTTGCGTGAATGAGTAGGCTTATGAAAATTCTATTTGCCAGATTTCCTTTGGCTTTGTCCACAGTAAAATGCCACACTTGTTGGGGTCCATATCTGTCCTCCCACAGTCCTACCCCAGAAACCTCCCATATTATTTGATTAGAGAGCAGAAGCATCTGCTTGAAGTGAGTACAAATGTGCTCTTCTGTGAATACCAAACAGAAAAATCATAGGAAGCAGAGGAAGCGGCTGTTCCCACTGTTTAAAAAGACTCACTGATTCCTTTCTAATTGGCTTGTGCTTGCTCTGTCTTGCCAGATCTGTCTCAGTTCCAATGCATTTGGGGTCTGTGGCTATCCTTGAGGACGATCCAGTCTGCTAAGAGCCATCACATTTGGCTAAACTCAGTGACTCTTGGACAAGGTACATTGATCTATATAATCTTGGTAATAAAAAATCTGAGGCCTTAGGGAGGAGAATTTTCCTCTTCCTTTCTTTTTTGGGGGCAGAGGGGGATCCAAAATTTATTTCAGTTGCCTTCACCTGGTGAGATGCCTGTTGGGACAGTCAATACTTTCCCAGAGTAGACAAGTTTTTGACTCAGCCTCCACCTCTGCCCCTGACTATGGCCCACAGACTGGTGCTGTAGGAAGGTTGGGCTGACCGCAATGACATCAGTCTTGAAAGGGAAGAATGGAAAACTTATTGAACACCTGCTGTGTGCCAGACACTGAGGGTTGTTTACACACATTCTCTCAATTAATCCTTACTCCAAGCTCATGACAATGTTTTTTAATATTCTGCTTTTACAGCAAAAACCCCTGAATATCAGAACAATCCCCTAACTAGCAATGATGGAGCCTAGATTTGAAATCAACCATCTCTACGTGCATTCATGATTTTTCATGTTACCGTTTTACTGGGAATGCATCTCTTGTTTCATTAGATGTATCATCAGTAAATTTACTAATAGACCCTTTTTTGAGTTTATTTATTATTTGCATTTTTACCCCCAACTCTAGTTAGGATTAAAAAAATCAGATTTTCCTACCTTATACTGTTTTACAATTACTTTTTAAATAGCATTACTTATAATTTACCCACACTTCATTAAATAAACTCCAGGATTGACTTTTAATTATCTTGAGGAACTTCTGGTCATTTGTAAACTGTTACTTCTTTGAAAACAATGGCTAATAGGTATATATGGTTTTAACTACATGCCAGGAACAGTTTTCAACACTTTATTTATATCCTCTCATTTAATTATCTGTCAAACCCTATCAGGTAGGGACTATTTTGCTGTTAGTGCCATCGAGTCAATCCCAACTCCTAGTGACCCTGTGAACAGCAGAGCGGAACCCTGCTGGGTCTTTTTGTGCCATCCTCTCACCTTCCAATGCTATATCAGACAATGTTCCGCTGCTATTTGTAGAGTTTTCACGGCCAGTTTTTTTGGAAGTGGGTGGCCAAGTTCTTCTTCCTAGCCTGTCTTAATCTGGAAGCTCTGCTGAAACCTGTCCACCATGGGTGACCCTGCTGGTATTTGAAATACCGATGGCACAGCTTTCAGCATCATAGTAACATGCAGCCGCCACAGTATGACAACCCACAGACAGGTGGTGTGGGTCCCTGACCAGGAAAGGAACCTGGGTGCTTAGAGGCTGAATCTTAACCACTAGACCAGCAGGGCTGGCTAACAAAGATGCTATTATTATCCCCATTTTACACATAAGGAAACTGAGGCAATGGAGATTAGTGACTACTAAGTAGAAGAGCCAGAATCAAGCCCAGTCAATCTACTTCCAGAGTCTACATGCTAAACTTCTGTGCTGTTCTGCTGCTTCCTGATTATTCGGTGACCTGCTCTTTATAGTTCTCTTTGAGAAAGATATCAATTTATTGCCAGTTTCCATTTCCCAGGAAGAATAATAGAACCAATCAGAGAAACACAGTGGAAGATGAACTGAATTTAAGTAGTTAAGTTTTGAAACAGAAACAAATATTTAAATTATCTTTAGTGTTTTGCTTCTTGTGCATCTATGTTTTGTGAATATGTATCCTTTATTATAGATGTTCAATACGAATTCAAATTCACTTCAAATTTACCTAGCTTTTACTTTAGTGATAAAACTATTGAGGGCTTCTTGGGCATTGCCAGTGGTTGGTATTTGCATCTTTCTCTGGGTCTCTCATCTTTCAGATCAAAAGGCAGAACAAAGTGTCTGTCTCTACCAACCCTGAAAATACCCGTGACAGTGACGTGACAAGAGTCTCATCTAAACTGCAGAGATGTTTGGGTCTTGAAGTTGAAAAGACCAAAAGGGAGGGAAAATGGCAGGATATTCTGAGTGTAAACAGGATATGGAGGCTTCTCAAAGTGAATCAACTAAGTTGAATTGTCAGCTTTTTGAAAAGATGTCCTCTGTCCCGTATTTGCAGAGATCTCTCACACAATGTTCATTCAGTTGACCAGTTTTGCTCACTTTGAGCCAGTTCTCTCTACTCTAATTCCTTTGACATAGTCAGCCTCCAAAGCGCGCATCAGGTCAGCTACGTCTCTGGGTAGAGGTTTGCCTTTACCTTTGTAAGATGTAGCTCAACGTTTATTAAAGGCTTTCAGTGACATGGAGAACTTTGTTTTCAAAATGTACGGTAAATTGCACAGAAAATGGTCTTTAATGTTTCTGATCTAATTCTGGAAGTAATTTTCTATGTATTTCCCCCCATCATTCTGAGATGTGGAAAATGGTGCAGAATTTAACAGATGAAAGAATTTAATGTGTAGTCTATTTCCTTAATGTTTTTGTGCTGTATAGCTATTGCTGATTTTGAAGTATGTTGTGTAACATTTTAATTCGAATGTAACAGTCCTCTCATTTGACTCTCTTTCTGTTGTGTGTGTTTGAAGAATGTGAAGGCAAGACAGCTTAAAGTATATATTGTTCTGAAATTTGGTTGTTATGTTGATAACAAAAATCAGCCTCTGGGCTTCTGTGTTTGTCAGAGAATGGAAGGTCTAATTACCAAGTTCATTTGCCTGACGATTCAAATGATCCTTTAGGTTCTGCAACGTTTATACTGATGTTTCCCTGTTCTTGAGCTTCAGGTTCTTCTTTCAGGTTCTCTCTTCTCTTCAGTCTGAGTCTCCACTAAACACATTTGGGAGGGCAGGGCTTACCAGGCAGCTGCACTCTCTCCGCCTTCATGCACCTTCAAAACAAGATCATAGAACAAGTCTCATTAGCTGAAAACAGTAAGAAAGCATTCAGTCTGTAGAATGGATGTGCTGTACCGTCATCCACTGAATTCTAAGCGTACAAAAAAGTCTTCGCAGACAAGCAGTCACATAAAAAAGACGTAGTAGTGAAATTCCTGTGTTCTTTCTCTTTGCTTTCCATCCTGAAGACTCCCATGTCACTTTTTTGTTTAAAATCTAACAATATCTGCCCATCGTACCTTGAAATAATCTCATCCTTCACAGTGACCTGCAAGGCCCTGTGTGATCTGGTCCCTGCTAACCTCTTAGAACTTATCTCTGTGATTCCCCCATTGTCACTCTGCTCAACACACTGCCCCCATTCTGTTCCCTAAACAAGCCAAGCTCTTTCCTGACTGATGGTCTTTACGCGGCTTATTCCTGCTACCCAAATATTTTCCCTTAGATCTTCTCATGCCTGAGTTCTTCTTTCCATTCAGATTTCAGCTCAAATATTACTTTCTCAGAGAAGTTTTATCTCCCCACTCACTTTAAAGTGACCGCCACCCTGCCTGAGGTCACTTTACCCATTTAAAAAATTATCTTGTTTATTTATTCCCATCCCCTCATTCTTCTCTCTCCATTATATTAAGTTCCATGGAATCAAGAATTTTATAATTTATGTTAACCTTTATATTTCCAGCTTCTAGAGTACTTCCTGGCCTATAGTAAGTACTCAATAAGTACTTGAGTGAATGAGTGGATAGAGTAGTCACAACACAACTTATTCTTTACATCGTGGTTATGTGGATCAGCTTTGTATTGGGGCAGGATCTGTGCAAAGGTTACAAAATAGCTTTCATCAAAAGAGACAACAGAAGAAAAGTGGCTTTCCAAAGGACTACATTCATGTGAATGAGAAGCTGACAAGAGCCTTCAGGAAGAAATAAAAATTCATGAAACAGTTCCAAGAGGAAAAAGGAGACTTAACATTAGTTATGTGGTAGCACCTCTGAAAATTAAAGATGAGTTAAAATTAGACTAATTGCATAAAGGAGTTTCTTTGTTTGACTGTAATCATTATGTGGAATCACCTATGCCCCAAATTGATCTTACTAGATTTCGGGAAGAGAAAGACAATTACTTGGGCACAAATGCATTTCCTTCCTTTCTTATTGCATAGTTTCAGTGCTTTTGGTTTGATAAATTGCCTAAACTACCTGGCTGGCTTGAAGGGAAAGTTATGTTTTTACATTTATATTAAACAAAAAACTTGTGCTTTAAAAATAAATCATCACATCTGATGGTATTGCCTCTCTTTCATTTGTTTTCTATCAATTGTGAGTTAAAGGTTACGTACAGAACAATCCCAGGGGTGCAATTTACTCTTCCAGGTAGCAGTAAAGCCCTGTAACCAATAACCATCACAAACAGAGGAGCTGTCAGAGACCAGATTCATTGCTCCCATTCCCAAAGTCCTTTTGTTTTTAGAAGACACTGAAATATGTTCTCTTTTCTTAGCCCACGAGAATTTCAAAGATGTCCTTTGACCTGTCTTTTGGCACCATATGATCAATATAGAAAAAAACCTCAGTTGCTCCTTAAGATCACATTTTGGAGGAAAGATGGTGGGCACACAGAAATTATACTGAATGACAATAACTATATTGTCTTGGAGCTTTTAAAATTTGGTCCAGGGCATGGAATAAGGTCATGGCAGACTCAGTATAATTTTTAGTGGACAATGTTTTCTCATTACAAGCCTTCCCTGGGAAAATAATATAAACTGTGATATTTATGTTATAGGGGAAAAAGACATTTCCTCTACCTTCTCTGGGTTCGTCTGGCCGGAGAACGAATTAAATTCACATGAGACAGAACAGCAAGAGAAAATGAAACAAAGCTTTATGAGGACCGTGGCCCGGGGCCTTTCTTCCCGAAGGAAGAAAGGGCACCAAAGAAGTGGGGTTCACAGAGTGGTTATATACCCCCAAACAGGGTGTTTCACATGTGATTGAAATGTCCCTCCCACAATAGTCACAAGATTGCCCTGTCAGCACAGCGCTTGATGGACACAGCAGGTAGTGGTCTGCTATCTTGGAGGGCGTAGCAGGAGGCAAGTCTATTGTCTTGAGCTGGGTGGTCACAGGTGAGTGCAGCAATCAGTTCCTAGCCTAAGGAAAGATGCTTAATCCTTAAAGAAATTCCAATGTTGGGAGGGGGA